TTGGTTTCTATACAGAAGTACACCTGATTTTGCACTCTCCAGCTTTAGTAAATAAACCCCACTGTGTGGTGGCACTTGTATCCTATCAGTGAATAGTTATGACTAGCTCCATTACAAAGCAACAGCCTCACGCCACTGTGGACATTCTGTGCATGGTGATCAGACCCAAAGTCCAAATGTCCTATGTGTATGTATTATATTAAGAAAGTAAGACCAAATAAAAATACCGAGAACCAAACAAAAAAAGAGCCAATACAAATGTCATAAATAATAAATCATATTATGAACACAGCTAAGGTCGGGTAGCCTTTGAAGTAATCAATAGAGCACTGAAACCAAACTGTGTGAGATTGTTAGCAGGGAGGAAGGGCTCCACCTGTGTGAAAACAGATCAGGGCAAGGGGAGGAGACAGCTCAGCACATATAGTGTAATAAAATAGGATGAACTTTATCAAAACCAATAAAATATAATGCTTTTGCATTTCCTTTGAATTTTTTTACATATAAACTCTCCTTTTTCCTCCCCCTCCTTTTCCTTTTATCTACACTTTTTTTTTTAAACAATCAATTACATTTTGTTACACCATTAAATTAATTGTATTTAATACATAGTATGTTGCTACTCGCAGACATACAGTCTCTGGAACTTACCACAGTCCCTGCCATTCTGCAGCAGCTCCTTCCTCTCCTGGGTCACAACTCACGGATAGCCTCTCCCAGACTTTTCCAATGTGTCTGATTTAACCATCATATTCATCAGCTACTAAGACAGCACAGTCCTCCCATAAGTGGTAGACTTTCACCACTGAATGGGACCCCCAACAATCTTTCCTACAATGCTCTTAGCCTCCAAAAGGCAGATTCCCCTCAGCTTCTTACCACCACCAGGTTACTCCTAACATCAAACAGCCCGATGCACAATTCGGAGCCCACTCTCAACCAGGGCATTGCCCAGCTCCACCTAAAGCTAAGAAACCCCAGCCTTCTATGTCTCAACACAGTTGTATGTCTGCGAGTATCTGCAGGGGAAGTCTTCAGGGGTGAAAGAGCTGCAACAAAGGAAGCCAGTGCCATCTTAGAAGCATGCAGTCCCTTAGCTCCTCCATGGCTGAAGTACTCATTAATCATCGGCAGGGATGCAGAGGAGGATCAGGTGTTGGTGGGCTTCTTTTACTTACCCATTTCCATGGGCTGTAGTGCTGCAGTGGGCTGTTGAAAGCAGCTGGGAGAGGAGAACTGGTGCCACATCTCTGATCTCAGTGTCATCCAAGCCATGACTCCTGGTTAAAGTTTTAACAGTGGTAGCTGTATGTTCAGTGTTAAAGGTTTGGTATAATAAAGTTTAAAGACTATCATATTCTATATTGAACCCAAATAAAGGGGCCATGGCCATCATTTTCCACACTTCAGTTTCCAGGCTTTTTTTTTAACCGCTTGCCGACCACAGATAGCCGAATGACAGCTTCACTGCGGCCGGTCAGTTCTGGGAGGGCATCATATGATGTCCTGCCAGAACGCGCTCTCCCATGCACCCCCGAGGGCGTGCACCCGGCGATCTCCGTGATTGCTGTGTCCTACAGCTGATCATGTGATATGGTAAAAGGCCAATCACAGCGGCCTTTTACCACATGATCAGCCTTATCCAATGACACAGCAGATCACCGGTAAATGCAGTTGTCAGTTATCAGCTGCACTTTCCTCACGCTGTCACAGCGCAAGGAAAGTAGTGCCGATAACTGGCAATTGTCAGAGGAAGGATCGGCATCGTTCATCAGGGCACTGATGATCAGTGCCCTGATGATTAGTGCCCAGCAGTGCCACCCACCAGTGCCACCCACAAGTGCCCAGCAGTGCCACCCATCTGTGCCCATCAGTCCCACCCACATGTGCCCAGCAGTGCCCAGCAGTACCACCCACCTGTGCCCATCAGTGCCACCCATCAGTCCCGCCCATCAGTGCTGCCCAGCAGAGCTTTCAGTCAGTGCCCAGCAGTGCCGCCAGTCAGTGCCATCAGTCAGTGCCACCCATCAGTGCCGCCTATCAGTGGCCATCAGTGCCGCCTATCAGTGCCCATCATTGTTGCATATCAGTGCCAGCTCATCAGTGCTGCCTATCAGTGCCCATCAGTGCTGCCTATCAGTGCCCATCACTGTTGCATATCAGTGCCAGTTCATCAGTGCCGCCTATCAGTGCTACCTAATCAGTGCCGCCTATCAGTGCCTATCAGTGCCCGTCAGTGCTGCCTATCAGTGCAAATCAGTGCTACCTATCAGTGCAGCCTCATCAACGTACATCAGTGAAGGATAAAAATTACCTGTTTGCAAAATTTTATAATAGAAACAAAGAAAAACAATGTTTTTTCAAATGTTTTTCTATTTTTTTGTTTATAGCGCAAAAAAATATAAACACCCAGCAATGAGTACATACCACCAAAAGAAAGCTCTATTTGTGTGAAAAAAATTATAAATATTTCATATGGGTACAGTGTTGCATGACTGCGCAATTGTTACTCAAAAGGCGACAGCTCTGAAAGCTAAAAATTGGCCTGGGCAGGAAGGGGGTATAAGTGCCTGGTAGGCAAGTGGTTAATCATGAGGGATCAGATGGTTACAGTGTAGGTTGAATCATGGGTGGTTGTTTGTGGGGTTGTACAATCCCATGATGGGGACAAGGGGCTAACCAAGTGTCCCATTGGACTTGTCACCCCAACATTTCCCCCCCCATACACACATACAATCAGCTCCTCCTTTCCTTTCATGAATTGTCTTTGTGGTTAACAGCTTTACTTGAATTAGAACATTAAAAGGTACAGAATCTTTCTGCTGGCTTTCTCTGTTTATCCTTTCAGGTTCTGTGGCTCCTTGCCCCCTCCTCACATCCTGGTCCCTGATAGGAAATCACAGAAAGCAGCTTTTACAGCCTCACTGTTTTGATCCTTGGCAGTTAAAAAAAAATATAAAAAAAGCTGATATTTAAATGTGAATTTAGCAACTAATGGAGGTGAAGTGTTCTTTTATAGGTTCTGTAATTTGGTACAACAGTCTGTATCTTCAATCAAGCTTTCATTTCCCCTCCCTCTATCCCTTTGATGAGGCCCTAAATTTTGTTTTGTTTCCCCATAGGTGTAGGTTAGATAAGTGCGTTTTGTTTTTTGGACAAAAATGTCATTTTCAGAGATTCAAATGTATACAACTCTCTGAATGGACATAGTAACGAATGTCAACAGATCCCAAAAAAAAGTTATAACAAATTAACAAATGCATTTGTTCCATTCTGATGATGTCTCGTGATGTGATAGTAGTTTGGGCCCATGGGGAAATGCATTAAACTTCAAGTTGAATATAATGTAATATATATGGGTTGGACTAGTGTCATAAAATATTAAATACATTCAATTTGAATCCATCTATATAATATAATAATTAATATATAGTATGTAATATATCAAATAAATAGAAATCTTCCAGAAAAAACTGCATATTGTTTTTAATGCACTTGGACCAATAAATATACAAAACAAGTGCCGAAGATACAAAATGAATTCTGAAAACAAATTAGGTCAACATAATGAATATACACATTATAGACCTAGGTTGGAGGGGCATGACACAGCCTGTGATTGGCAGAACTTCCTCTAGATCTTTTTACAGTGCATACGAAGTGAAAGCTATTATCAGACAATTTAAACCTGTGCCATGTTATTTCAAAAAAAAAAGTTAATATTTGCTTTGAAATACAGATTTGTATGAAGATTTAAAACACTTTGCTGCTATTATTTGGTTATTTTATTCTCTATTCTGAAAGGTTTTTTTTATGTCATGTGACTAGAGATGAGCGAAGTATTCAAAAATTCGATTCGACTGATTCGGCGAATTTGTGGAAAAATTTCGATTCGAGTCGAATATATTCGCTGCGAATTTAACTTATAAAAGGGTGTTTCTAGGCTTCAGAGAGACTTTATATTAGTGCAGAACACTGTACCTTTAATTTAAATGCCCTTGGAGTCTGCTGGGGAAGAGAAATAATACTGACAGTCAGTATGACATGCAGATGAGTGCCGTCGATCTTAGAATCACCACACACTTCACTCATTTGGGCAGTCACGGGGCCAAAACCAGAGTGTGGAGCCACAGTGTGGCGGTGGAGGCAGCAGCAATGGGAGGCCATACAGCACCCTATGACAAAAATGGAAACCACCAGCAGTGTGAGGAGACCTGAAAGTGGCACATGGCAGAGTGTGGTGATGGAGACAGCAGCAATGGGAGGCCGTACAGGGACCCATGACACACTCTGGACCTGGCAGCAGCATGAGGAGGCGGTACAGGGGCCCATGACAGATTACGGGCCTGGCAGCAGCATGAGGAGTTGGTACGGGGGCCCATGGCAGAATACGGGCCTGGCAGCAGCAATGGGAGGCCGTACAGGGACCCATGACACACTCTGGACCTGGCAGCAGCATGAGGAGGCGGTACAGGGGCGCATGACAGATTACGAGCCTGGCAGCAGCAACTTGGACAGGAGGACGTTCAGCTGCTGCACCGTCGGGTGCGTGCTCGCAAACTGTTGTCTCTTGGAAACGGATTCCAAGAAAGACTGCTGACGGAATCCGTGAAGAGGAGTAGCAGGAGAAGGAGCATCTGAACGAGCGGAATATGCCAACAAGCGACAACAGGGGCCCATGACAGATTACGGGCCTGGCAGCAGCATGAGGAGTCGGTGCGGGGGCCCATTGCAGATTAAGGGCCTGGCAGCAGCTATGGGAGGCCCGTAATCTGCCAGCACCCTATGACAAAAAATGGAACCCACCAGCAGTGTGAGGAGACCTGAAAGTGGCACATGGCAGAGTGTGGCGATGGAGACAGCAGCAATGGGAGGCCGTACAGGGACCCATGAGAGACTCTGGACCTGGCAGCAGCATGAGGAGGCGGTATAGGGGCCCATGGCAGATTAGGGGCCTGGCAGCAGCTATGGGAGGCCCGTAATCTGCCAGCACCCTATGACAAAAAATGGAACCCACCAGCAGTGTGAGGAGACCTGAAAGTGGCACATGGCAGAGTGTGGCGATGGAGACAGCAGCAATGGGAGGCCGTACAGGGACCCATGAAAGACTCTGGACTTGGCAGCAGCATGAGGAGGCGGTATAGGGGCCCATGGCAGATTAGGGGCCTGGCAGCAGCTATGGGAGGCCCGTAATCTGCTAGCACCCTATGACAAAAAATGGAACACACCAGCAGTGTGAGGAGACCTGAAAGTGGCACATGTTTGGGGCATGATTCATGGCGGATTTAGTCAGTTGTGTCAGGAACTGGTGGTTTGAAATCCAGACTAATCCACGCCTGATTCATTTTCACAAACGTGAGTCTCTCCACACTTTGGGTGGACAGTCGTGTCCTCCGCGGAGTTGCAATACCTCCTGCCGCACTAAACACGCGCTCCGATGCCACGCTACTGGCCGGGCATGACAGCCTTTCAAGGGCAAATTCAGCTAGTTGGGGCCAAAGGTCAAGTTTCGTTGCCCAGTAGTCAAGGGGATTGTCTACCTCGGTTGGCAGGGTGCTGTCCAAGTAGGCCTAAGCCTGTTGTTTGAGGTCCTGCTCCAGGTCCACCTGATGATGCTGCTGCTGCTGCTGCTGCTGCGGCTGGTTAGTAGTTTCCTCACTGCGCTGGTGAAGAAAGCTACTCATCATCGACTGCAGACTGAGGCAGCTGCTGCTGGTGGAGCTGCCACTGCTCCTACCACCCCACCCCTCCCCTGCTGCCATGGCAGCGGAACGCGAGCGCACAGGGCCCACAGTGTCTGAGGATGGACGTTGGCGCAGACAGGCAGAGACCAGCTGACTACATAGGTGGTTTTTATAGTACGTTATTTTGGCCTCCCTCTCAGCAGGTGTGAAAAAGGCCACCATTTTTGAACGGTAGCGAGGGTCCAACAAGGTGGACAGCCAAAAGTCATCCCTCTGTCTGATGGTTATTATTCGGCTGTCGGTACGCAAGCAAGCGAGCATGCTATGGGCCATTTGTGCCAAGGAATGCGAGGGACTCCCTGCCTCCATCTCCACAGCATACTGCCACGGTGCATCTGGGTCCTCTGTCTCCTCTTCCTCCTCCTCTACCAGATGCTCCTGCTCCTCCACTCCTGTCCGCTGAGTGGAAAAACCACCCATTTCACTCAATAATTCCTGAGCACCAATGTCCTCCTCTATCTCCTCCTCTTCTTCCTGTCCTGCCCCCACAGGGGTCATGTGGCGTTGAGATCTGTGCGCCACGTCTACCGCACCCTGACCAGCCATTGTTAACAGCATTTGTTCCAGGACGTGCAACAGAGGAATGACGTCGTTCATCCCATAGTCCTGCCGACTCACGAATAGCGTGGCCTCCTCAAAGGGCCTGAGCAAGCGCAGGTGTCACGCATGAGCTGCCAATGGCTGACATCTAAGTTACACAGGGAGTACCTTTATCCGCTTTTAACATCAGGAAATCTGTGATGGCCATTTGCTGTTCGTAAAGGCGGTCTAACATATGTAGGGTTGAATTCCACCTTCTTGCAACGTCACAGCATGAGGAGTCGGTACGGGGGGCCCATGGCAGATTACGGGCCTGGCAGCAGCAATGGGAGGCCCGTAATCTGCCAGCACCCTATGTCAAAAAATTCAACACACCAGCAGTGTGGCCAGCACCCAATGACAAAAAATTCAACACACCAGCAGTGTGAGGGAGACCTGAAAGTGGCACATGGCAGAGTGTGGCGATGGAGACAGCAGCAATGGGAGGTCCCGTACAGGGACCCATGAGAGACTCTGGACCTGCAGCAGCATGAGGAGGCGGTATAGGGGCCCATGGCAGATTAGGGGCCTGGCAGCAGCTATGGAGGCCCGTAATCTGCCAGCACCCAATGTCAAAAAATTCAACACACCAAATGTGAGGAGAGCCTTGAAAGTGGCACATGGCCGATGGAGACAGCAGTGTGAGGACCGTACCGGGACCCAATGAAGACTCTGGGTGGCACAGAATGCGGTCGATAGGGAGACATGGCAGCCATTTAGGCCTGGTAGCGTATGGGAGGCCCGTTAATCTGCCAGCACCCTCTGTCAAAAAATTGAACACACAGCAGTGGCATGAGGAGCGGGTAAAGGGGCCCATGGCAGATTAGGGGCCTGGCAGCAGCTATGGGAGAGGCCCGATAATCTGCCAGACCCAATGTCAAAAAAATTCAACACAGCAAGCAGTGTGAGGAGAAATGAAAGTGGCACATGGCAGAGTTGTGGCGATGGAGACAGCAGCAATGGGGAGGCCGTACAAGGGACCATGACAGGACCTTGGGACTTGGCAGCACATGAAAAGGGGGTAAGGGGCCCATGGCAGATTAGGGGCCTGCAGCGCTATGGGGGCCCGTAATCGCCACACCCTGTCAAAAAATTAAAACACCAGCAGTGGGGAGGAACCGAAAGGGCACATGCA